GATGCTCAGTCAGATCCACTTATATATGTGTCTGCCAACCCATTGCTAGTCAACGGATTGTTAACACCGTTAACATCTATTAAACAGTTTTAAACATAAAAAGGGAATGCAATTAGCTGTGTAAACTCAAAGGTGTGTTTGGTAGGAGGGATTTGGATCGGAGGAGAGGGGAGGGAGGGAAAATGATTTTAATTATTTTTCTTTATTTGGCAACACATTAATTTTAGGAAAGAAGAGAAAATTTTAAAAATTTTACTTCCCCTCCCCTCTAAAATTGGGAGTATTTGGAAGGAAATAACAATATTTTGTCATGTTATAACTATTATGCTCATATTTTGTCATGTGATGACCATTATGCCCATATCTTAAATAAAATAAGGGTAAAATTATCCATATTAAAAAAATTTTTCCTCCCCTCTCCTCGTGAATCAAATAAGGTAATATTAAAATTTATCCCCTCCCCTTCTCTCCATTAAAATCCCTCCCCTCTCTTTCTTCTTATTGAGCCAAATAGACCCTAAAGAATCTGATAAGAAAAAATATATAAGAATCCAATTCAAAATCAAGAAAAACTATAAGGAATAGAGAATTAGTTTTTCCTATTTTTTAACGTAGGGGCCCAAGGAGGATTCGAAAATTTATGTTTTATAAACAAAAAAAATAAACAAAAATTTTCTGGGCATCGTTACTTGTCCTTTCTTAATTTTGGGCTTCTTGTTGGCCTATTTTAATTTTTCTTTGGGTTGGCTTTTTCAGTCTTACTGCCTTCCTTCCCTCTAGCTTCGGCCTTAAGCTGAGAAGCTTCCTCGTTAACTTTCAGCTTTAAAAGAATTTGAACAGATGGGACCAAATATCTTCGGTACAGTACAACGCCTGAGAACATTTTTGGTTTAAAATCAGCTTTTCAATATATGGAGTATGAAAATATATAAAAAGAGTTTTATTTTGAATTGTATGAACAAGTGTTTTTTGGAAATCTCAATAAGTATTGAATTCCATTCTCTCCAACTTTTGTAAGCATGACCGACTTGAGATCATTAAAGTTAAGTATTTGTCTTCGTCCAATACAAAGGTTCCATTGGTGCTTAGTATGCATTTGAACTATGAATGAGCTTCTGTCCTAATCATATTTAATGAGTATCCATAGAGTTCATTGTTGCTCACTCTCCAAATCTAATTCGTAAAGTTTAGATTAAACTTTTCCATTTTATCTTTTTTTTAAAATTATAATATGTACAAAATTAAAATAGTAATAATTTTTTAATTGTCAGTTTTAAAAAAAATAATTTTAAGAAAACATTAGTTGAGAATTTTAAATGAACGGATTTCATTACTGCAGTAAGTATTAAACTAATTTATAGTTGCAAAAAATTGATTTTACGCCGTACAAGGTGCAAGGTGAATATGTAAGAGAACTTTTATATCATAAAACATAAAAATTATTTTTTAAACCCTCCCAAATCAACCTCAATTTTTTGGTGTTTTCTAATTTCGGCTCTTGTCATTTAAAAATTACGAACAGAATAGAGAGACTAAAATACAAAATATGAAGGATAATATATATGCCCTGTGTTTTGGCAATATATATAGCCATATATATATATTTGTGTGGTAAAAAATGACATGGGAGGTAAAATGTATACATTACTGTAATATAATAAATACTTATAAGTTTAGTGAAAAATTTTAGCACTATAGAAAACTTGAATATTATTATCTTTATTCAAATACTTTAGCCGCATTCTTTGTCATCTTTATTCAAGACTCACCATGTTGGTTGTTTTTTTAATTCAAAATATTCTCAAAACACTTTTTTTTTTTTGTGCTAAAGCATAAGTATCCTCCTATTAGAGACAATTCTTTTTGAGGCACTGTCGAACGCTAAATGTGGGTACTTTTCCTAACGGGGATTTGAACATTAATTTGTCAAGTTGTGAGAAACTAGTTCTTTTTGCTAGATCTAATCCCCCATTAGTTTCTCAAGACACTTAAACTAATATTTATCAAGTTGGAATATTAAGATTAAAATTCAAAACGGGCCAAAGTGCTTAAACAGATGCTTTAAGTCCAATCCCTAACCCAAGGAATAAAACAATGGACCCCAAGCCCACAAAATCCCGGGTTATTTTACGAAATAAATATAAGCTGAAGGGTATGGTCGCAATTCATATGCAGCGTTAAAAATATTTTTGTTTCCCACAAGGAGGGACGGGCGAGACGGAGAGAGTCTAGAGAGAGAAAACGTGAAAGACCTCTTCGTTTAGAACTCAGACTATACAAAACCAAGGCCCTCTCTCGCTTCAATATACATTCTTGCTTCTCACATTCCGCGGGATTTCACTGTAAGATCCTCCCTTCTTCCTCTTTGGCACTCGCTCTATCTTCTCTCTCCACTTTTTCACTCCACTGCTTTTTTCCCCGACTGCTCACAAACTGGTTCTGGCGGGAATGAAGGTTTTGCGAGCGGTCGGCGATTTAAGATTTTTCCATTCTTCGTTTCACTTCTGTTTGTCTACGGAGGTCGCCATTATTTCTCGTCATTTTTATAATACTCATTATGCAGTGCTTGGAGTATGTTGCGGGGTTTGCGTATATCGGCACCTAACTTTATTTGGTTTGAGATCGCAAAAAATGCATATTCTAGGGTTTCCTCTCTATTACATCGCATCGGAGCTTCTCTTTTTTAATGTTTTGATGGGAGTCTCAGTGTTAGGCGTTTTTGTATTTAAACTTCAAGGTGGGGTCTCGTACTGTCAATTTTGCAAAATAATGTTGATTCTTTTCGTAGCTTATAATTTTATGGAGTTGAAACCAAAGGTCATGAACTTTTATCTGGCTTTTTCTTTTTTAAGCTAGCTACATTGCTTACGGATTGAAATGTCGCAATGACAACTTACGCTGCCTTTGCAATTCTTATTGGTTGATTTGACTACAAGTAACTTATCGGTCTCCTCTTGCGGGACATGTTAGGGTTTCTGGTACTACAGACGCTTATCTATTAATGAACGTGCTTCACCAGGGTGAAAATGTTTTCTATTATGGTTTTAACACTTAAATTGGACTTATTTTTTCGTTTACCAATCATTGAGCTCCTCTTGTTGGCGATCTAGGGGAAAATTATAAAAACAATATTGTTATTTGAGGTCTTGTGCTTTATGGTTATCATAATATGACTCAACCAATCAAGCCATCTATAGTAGTGACTGAATTTTTAATTCCAACTAGATGTTGGCCTGTTGGTCTAATGCTTTGTACGGTGTTTGGGATGTGCTGCAAATGCAAGACTTATGAATGCTTTGTACGGTGTTTGGGATGAGCTGCAAATGCAAGATTTACATTACTGACATTGTTCTTCCAATGTCTCTATGCAGGGTCATTGTCTCTGTTTGACAGCATATTACCAGATGCCTCTTCTTAAAAGGAAGCCTTTTGTCTTGGCTGAGCCACCTAAGGATTTGGAGCCACATGAGCTTGTCCATCAAGTTCGATTCACAAAAGAAATTTTCCGAGATTATCAGTATCCTTTTTAATTTACTAATGTTGCTGTTTTGTATGTGGGATTCTTCTTCCAATCTGTAATTTACATTGATGTAAATACACAAAGACATATCACTTACGTTTTTATCAATTTGTCTAAAAGTGATTTAAAACAATTGCTGCAATGTTATTGATAAAATACGTCATCAGCATTTCATACTTGGTCCTTTCAGTTAGATTGTAACTGTTGGTCTCCCTTAATGTGAAATAGTGATTATTTGAACCGTATAAATTTGTATCGCCAGAGAGTTTGGACATGTAAAGTCACTGGGAAATCTAACTTGACTTTTGAAGAGGCTATGGTGTCAGAAAAGCGTGCCACTGAAAAAGTCCAACAAATTCCCAAAGAATTAATGGAACCTGCACTAAGGATTATTCAATACAGTAAGAACTATTCTCATCTGAGATTAAGGAATGTATGTTAATATGATGATAGATGTGTTAATTATTCTTCTATTATGGCATATTGCATACATGATTTCCTTTCATTACACATAGTTATATTGCTGTGTGCATTTAACGAGTCTAAAATTTTCTGGGTATCTGCTGAATTTATAGGAACTGGATATGGTTTATACAGTTATATATCTGAAGGTAAGGTACTTGTGAAATACATTGCAAGCATCTATAGAGATGAAATGCTTTTATAAAATATTCTGATGCTATCTACTCTAACAGCTGCGAATGAAAGGATCGTGTTATTTTGATCTGTTAATGCTATTCAGAAGATGTCTAGTTGTTGGTTGTAATCATAAGCATTTTAATCAAGCCATTAATCTCTCATTCCAAAGAATAGTCTCATGACTCATCAAGTTGGCAGCTACTAGTTCAGAGCACGTATTGCCTCCAATTAACTGTATATAAATTATGATATGATATGATATGATATCCTGAGCCTTAAGATGCCCTTACACTTCTGGCTTCGCTTCAAGATGGTTTTGGGTTAGGCAATGGTTATCGCATTGGTATCAACAAAACAAACCTTATAACTGTCGGACAAGACTACTTGTCTCCATTAGTCATTGTAACCTATATGAAAGAAATGTATGAGTCTAGACTTGCACAACAATTGATTGTTCCAGTTTTAACGTATAGTTGCTTAAATTGCAAGACATCATTTTGTGAACGTTCTAACTTTTGGGCTTAGGTTGCTGTAAAGGAAATAAGGAGTTTGCTTAAGTGTTATAGGTGAAAAATATTTCTTTTTCTTTCCTAGAGAAACCCCGTGTCAATGTGTTGGTAAGTCGTTTGTAGTTCTATTATTTGATATTTGATTTTTTTTCCCTTTAGAAAGAAGCTGAAAGGACTATATTATGTGAAAAAACCTTTTCTTTTTTCCACATATCCAACATGGAGCGTATTTTAAACTAGAACTTCTAAACGAGTGCCTTGCAATCACGAGAGAAATAATGGAAAAGAATTTGATAATGTGTCTGAAAATACAAAACTGCAGAGATTTACCCAACAGCTAGTAAATAGTTTTATATTTTTTATTTGACAAATTCAAAATAAAGCAGGCTTTGAAACTTGTTCTTAGAGTTAACTCACCAAACAAGTTTTCTGTTTGCTGACAATGGATGGTCCACAAAATGGATTCATTTTTTCCCCAAGAATTATTGTTAAAACATATTTGAAAACTGACAGTTAAAAAACAATGACAAACAAACAGTTGTGTTTGATTCAAGTCTTTTTGGATTATACAATCTGTTGGGTTTTTATCGAAGGGTATTTATTTTGTGCAAAACTAATGAGTCGTTGTGTTTGATCCAAGTGTGCTGGACTATGCAGCTTGTTGGATTTTCATCAAAATGCTTGCATTGTGTGTGTATTGTACTCCATGAATGAGCTTTTGTTTTGGCAGGCATGCTTCCTTTGAGGGAACTCGCTGACGCAATAGCTGAAAAATTGCAAGAACAGGTGTATGTGGGTGCTGAGCTGCATGGAAAAAGGGATGATGGAGAGCATCCCTGCAAAATATTAAAAGTCGTTAGGGAAGGAGTTGATGAATTCCGCTATGAGGTAGCTTGGCTTGACAAAAACAAGAGAACAATTGAAAAAGCAGAAGTCAGTGCCAAGGATTTGGTGCAGAAGAAGTTTCCTTTTAGCAGGAACATCTTGAAATCTTTTATCCGGGAATCTACATATCGTAATGCTCCTTGGGTGATACATGATGAATTGGCACGAAGTTATGGAATCTCAACTGATATCCCAGAGGAATTAAAAGGAAGAGCTTTCTTCAACAATGGACTTTTAATTTGCAACAAGAAAAGGAAAAATGAGGTAAACAGAAAGAAAGGGGTAGTAGTTTCAGCTGCAATCATCTCTTTGATCCATGCATAAAGAAGCAAAACTTAATTGATAAAGGAGAAAGAAAGAGTAAACTGTCGTAGGATTAATGTCCTGAAGTATAGTTCCTTGGTTGGTTTGTTATTGATGGTTTTTTTTTTTTGGTATCAAATTTGTCATATTCAGGATGTAAATGGAGATGCTGAAAATTGTAAAAGAAGGAAGTCGGGTGATGCAAAAAATGATGGCTTCCCTTCCGTGAAAGGTAGAATTTAAAGGTTGAAGTCATTTTGTCTGCTTCGAGAATTGGTTTAGCCCCCTTTTAGTTTGCAATTGTTTAATTAGAACTTATTTCGTAGCAGAATTTGAGTTCACTTTGCTTTGAGCATTTCCATTTCATCCACTCCTTTCTTTTTCGCTTTCTATGTTGTCGGGTTGGATTATAGCAGGTACCATGGGATAAGCCCTTTGTATTTTCTCTTAACTGGGAAGTTTTCTCTCTTGCAACTTGGAAATAATGAATATTTGATAAATTTCTATTTCAAATCATATCATCGCTATACTGAAGTTACGGATTTCTTACAAATGTCTGGTCAGTCTTCCCCTTATGAGTTCAATGTATTAAAATTATTTTGACCCTATCGGTATCATAATTTTGCAGAAAATGGCCAATGCAAGGAGGAACCTATCAAATATCCGATTGATGATTTATTGGTGAAACCTAGTCCAAGAGATCCTCATCGTCCTTCTCCATCGAGAGATTTCAATGTTCCGATTCATCATGTAGGGGATCTCTTAATGGTTTGGGATTTTTGTACTTCTTTTGGTAGGTTGTTGCATTTGTCGCCCTACTCTCTGGAAGATTTTGAAAATTCAATCTGCCACAAGGAAAGCAATGTGGTTCTCCTAATGGAATCTCATGCAGCACTCTTTCGGGTGCTCATGAAAGACGATGGTGATTATGCTTCAGTTGTGCAGAAAAGAAAACGGAAGTTTAAGGTCAGCATCTCCCTTGGATATATCTTTCTACTAGCAGTTATTAGTGTGTATTTTTTATTTTTGATGTTCAATACACATGTTCCAAATGAAACTTCCCTTGCAATCTGGTATTCTATGCAAGTTATTTCTTTCTTTCTTTTATTAATGATATAACAGTACCTAATCCCACTTCATTTTCAGATTACAATGATTAATTGGCAAGAATATTTATGCGATTTTCTAGAAATGATCAATGTTCCTGGGTTACGGCAGTTTGAAGCTACCATAAAAAGGGGACATTATGGCCTCGTTGATATCAATGCTAAGCTAGAAATCTTGTGCGAATTGGTCAATCGAGTTCTTGAAACCTCCATTTTTAGGGAAAAGTTGGACGAGGTTATTGAACAGCGGCAGGCAATTGGTGCTACTAGAAGAGGAGAAGCGCTAAAAGATGGTAGAAAAAGAAGAGAAGAAAAGGAACGGCTGAAAGCTGAGTTTGAAAGCAATGGGAGTATGGATGGGCACCATCAAATAAATGTAGCAACTGTCTCAACAAAAAATAATCACAGTAGACAGAATGGGGACATGGGAAAGAAAAGAAATGGAGAGAAGGAATCATCTAGGAACGGGGATGCTTTGGGTGGAAGGTCAGTGTTGATATAGTGAATTTTAGCTGCGTGCCTTTTTCTTTCCAGTAGTTTTTGTGACTTCCAACATAAAACTTGTTCTAAATTTATGAGCAGTTTGGACAAACATTCAAATGGTGCGTCCAAGAAGTCTTCTAGGAAGCTGAGTTTAGAACTGAAAGAACCAGCAGGAAATGGAAATGAGTCATCCAGAAAGGAATCACAGAAGCAATTAAATGGGGAGAACGATCCGCCAGAGAAGAACAGTATAGAAAAGAGGGTTTAGCCTACCTCCATTCTTTTGTTTTTTTTTTAAAATTATTTATTTAGTTTGCTCATTGGAGTTTTAATGATTCTGCTTGTTGCACAGAGAGAATATTTTGAACGAGAGATGGAAAAACGATTTGTTCGTACAAGTCCCCTGGGTAAAGACAGGCATTACAACAGGTATTGGTGGTTTCGCCGTGATGGGAGGATATTTGTGGAAAGTTCTGATTCCAAGGAATGGGGCTACTACAGCAGCAAGGAAGAGGTACTGATTTTTTTTTTTTTTTTTTTGGGGTGAACTAAGAGGTACTAAATTTAGATGGCCTGCTATATGTGCTTTTCCTTTAGGCACGAGACTCCTAACTTTTTATTGGTTTGCCTGAATAGCTTGAGGCATTGATGAGGTCACTGAATCGCAAGGGTGTGCGGGAAAGAGCATTGCACAAGCAACTGGAAAAATATTATAGTAGAATATGGTGAGTTAGATTGTTTTCCAATTGAAGATTTTAATGGAGTACTAGTAGAACATTTCTCAGTCCTTGTTTCCAATTCACGTAGTGGAATATGATGATCTGAACCTAAGTAGAAGCCTTCAATTTAGACTTTTATCCCGGCTTTACACGTTTTATAAATGCTGCAAGCGGGCAAAACCGATCATGGTTACAACAAGGGAACACCTTTATTTTTGTTTACTTAAAAAATTTCTACTAAGTAATTCTAACGTAGAATGATCTTCAAAATGAGCTGATAGTTTGGAGTGGTTGACCATGGCTGGAAAAAAAAGAAAACACCATGTATTAGAAACTGTCATCAGAAGTTTGATTAATTTAACATTTTGAGATAACGACCATGTTTACCATCTTGATTCCCGTGAAACCTGTATTGCTAAATCAGGTTCTGATCTCCTAGTGATGACATGTAATCTTCCAATCTTCCGTTGAATATACTTTAAAATGTTGTCAATATATTTTTGTATCAGTTAACTTCATTTTTATTTATATTCCATGTTTATAGTACGGAACTTCAGAAGAGGTTAAAGGATCAGATACAGAAAATTGCACTAGATGAGTCTGTGCTCCGAAGGTCTACTCGTGTTCGAGCGCCACCTAGAGAAAATCCTGCCAATGCTTTCCTCAAATATGTTAATAAGTGGAAGGAAGAGTAGTTGGTGCAAGGAAGGCTTACATCTTTTTAGCTTAGCTTCTTCGGCTTGATGAAAGCTGGAACGTTCTGCATTTGTTTCTTTTGTTTACATATGGAGAATGGTAGCAAATGATTCAGTTGGTCCAAGGTCTGAGGAGGAATAGGATGATTAAACGGTAGTTTAATCTATCATCGGATGATGGACAAGCATGTATTTTATGCTTGATCCTGAAATTTTGTATATGGATTACACCATTTTTAAATAATAACTGTAGGTACAAAAAGAATTCTTGTATTTACCCGGCTCTAATTGTTGTTGTTATTATTTTTATTTTTTGTTCTGTTGCATGGTCACTGCACTTGTATGTTGGTGTGGACATTTACACGGAACTATTCATGTGAATTTATAGCTGCCTGTCGTGATGTATATAACGTCTGTGTTTCTCCAGCTATCCGACAGGAATTCATTCTGCAGCCTTCTACGATTCATCTAAAAATCGACGAAAACCACACATAATGAAGGTCAATTGAAAGATATCAATTTTAATTTTTGTTGTCTGTGGGGGAAGAGTTTTTTTTTTTTTTTTGGGGGGGGGATGCTCTGTCCAGTTTTTTGTTTAGTCTAAATTGTCATGCAAACAGCACAAGGGGGTATCACTTATCAGGACCTTGCCATGTTCCCCAGGCGTTCTATGAAACTAAATTATGAGCTTGTATTTTATATGGATCCTTAACACCGTTCGTTTACAACACTATTGCGATCGTAAAGGGCTGTTTTACGTGGAATTTACAGGCATATAAATTTGAGAAATAAATCATATTGTTGATAGTCTTGCTAAATAAATTTTGTTTTATATTGATTGCGGAGGCTCTCCCGTTTCAAGTTTTTCAAAATCATATAGGTCGAAAATTAGTTCACCATGTTTTGGGACGTTAGGCTCAACTCACTAGCGGTGGCATTGTGTTGTGTGGTTAATATGTAATGTTCCCCCAGTTACTGAGTTCCATGTTTTCAGTCTCTCTCTCTCTCTCTCTCTCGCATCCTTAGTTTTATGATATTTTCTCACATTTCTCTTTGGCAATTAAAAGCAATCAGAGACAAAAGTGAACCAGAGAAACTGAGAGCATTTATAGAAGGAACCACACAACACACAAACATTACATAACCCTTGTCACTGAGGGAAGAAGCGAAAATAAACCAATACTGGTTCAAGCAATGCACCTTAACATAGGCATCAAAATCAGGCACTAAAACTCGCAATATAAGTTTTCCAGCCGCAAATTTCGAATTTATGGAAAGTAGGAGCCTGTCAACAAAGGAATTTGGTTACTATAAAAGGAGAAAGAAAACTCTTACAAGGGAGGGGCTGCGGCACCAAAAGGAGGTGCACATTATTTTCTCCCCTTGTCCTTCTTTTCCCTGGCTGCATGCAGGATAGACCCTACAAGAGAAGATGAGGGGCCCCGATGCTTTCTTACTCAGTTAAACAGAAAATGCAGGACTACTTATTCATGTAGTGCACAATGCGTGAATGCGGTATATTCATAAGACGTCAGTCATGAGCACTTCAGCCATTATAATATCTTTAATCCGTACGATTTAACTTTGAGATATCTAAATGCAACTATCTCGACAAAATGAACCAGAAGTGACATGAAAATATTTATTTTATTTGAGTGCTTTGAACACATCATGGCCATTAGGAACTGTTATCAGTACAGATGAGCAGAATGTGAGCAAAAAATATCCATCATGTGATCTCAGGCCACCAGTTCCTTGCATTACGGGCAAGAAGCAGAATTCTAGCCACAAAGCATTGAATGCAATGCAGAACAAGATTATCTTATCTCAATGACAGCTCGTCCAACAATTTTTCCCTGATTGAGATCTTCAAATGCTTTGCCTGCCTCCTCAAAGTTGTATCTTCTAGAAACAGCATTGGAAAGATTGAAGATACCTGTTTCTGCCAGTCTGACTAACTTAGGAAGATCTTGCCTTGCTCTACCTCCATACGATCCGATAATTTTTATCTACTCAGAGATGTTGTAATGGTTCATTGCAATAATGAAAGGCACCAAAAATAATTATCAGTTTAACAGAGAATTTCATAACAGTGCCTAAGAAAACTAAGCTTAATTTCTACAGTTTGAAGTCAGATCATCTTTCAACCAGATTATTCATGTGAATGCAAGATATTTCAATGAATTGATCCAGCTAAGGCCTTAAACTTGGCTTAAAAGAAGAAAATCAACATAAATAAAAATCATGTAACTTGAGAGAGAGAAAAAAATACCTGTATTTACTAACTTCAAGAGTTTCAATATTTTTACGTTTTGTAAAACAAGTTTTAGATAAATTGAGGTATTTTATACTTGGTAACAGATTTTGTTTCAGTGTCAGGAGAACATTAATTTTAAAAGATGCGATGGAAGTTCCAAATAGATTATATAAGGCCAGCTAGATTGAATGGCACAGGTGTATCTTGACCATTATAGTTGAGACTTGAGAGTATAAGGAGTTACTTAATAGTTAGAAAGATATATTGCAGACAAAGAATATGCACCTTTCTACGAACAAGGCGATTTATATCCATTTGTCCTACAGCACCAGCTTGTGCTAGTCCAATCATCACAGCTTTTCCTCCATCCTTCACACTTTGTGTGCACTGGGGAAAACGTCTGCGGTTTTCCCAAGGCTTCCACAGCAACATCAACACCTTTTCCACCAGTTATTTCCTGTTGAAATCAGTGTAAACAAAATAAAGGCTCCTTCAGAGTGAAAGAAGTCAAACATCCCAAGGATGAGGCAATTTGTGAATTGAAAAATTGTGTGCGCTTTCCTACTAACTCCATACCTGTGGCTTTGTCAGAAAATAATAGCAAAAATAATTACTAGTAATATTGTGGAATAAGGGTTTACTTTTTGAATCTCACGATGTTGGAAACAAAGAAAGCTTAAAAATAGACGACAAATATGAATAGGAAAAGCTTGATATACAGTTCATGGACCAGAATTTCAAAGGATGTCCCACAAGGAGAATGAGAAGAAACTGAAACTATTAAAACCAAAACAAGTTATGGTGGCAGAATAGAGGAACCAAACAGCATGGGCACTGGGCAGAGTTTATTTCAAAGCAAAATATATGCTCCCCATACTTCTGTCTTATCAAAATACACAGAATGGCAATTTTTTTTTTTTTTATACAGAGGTCCATCTAGCAGCTTAGGCTTAGAATTAGAAAGACATTGATGCTTTGACAGCCTTCTAAATCAACTTGTTTAACTATTGATTCCTAGTAGACACCTGTGCAAACAAGTCATGAAAAAGATTCTCTTTATGTTCCTACGTAAAATTAAAAAAAAAAAAAAACCACGCAGCTTTATTGTTTCAATTAGAAATAATATAGCAGTAATCCTCCGACCTGGCACTGTTAGATCTTAAAAGATTGAATCAAAGGAAAATGCATTTACAATTATCTTTCCAATTGGATCTTCTTGTGCTGCATTCACGGTGTGAGTAGCGCCGAATGTTTTTGCTTTCTCTAGCTTTCATCCTGAACATCCACAGCAATAATTTCAGAAGCACCAAATGCTCTAGCAATCTGCAAACAGCTGGAAAGGAGGATAAATTCAGCTCAATGTTCTGTATCCCAGGGGTGAATTGGAATACCTATAATCTCCAAAATCATTTTGCAGCATCCAAGGGGTCCCCATAACGAAAGAGCTAAATGTATGATTCCCACAAATTTTTCGATAGGTTTGTATACAATCTAACAACACAATGAGAAACAATCTCATCAATATAGTAATAAGTTCCAAATGCTTAGGCACAACCATATAGTGTAAGATTGGATGTGCTCCGGGGTAAATGGAGTGTCAGTGAGCACAAGCACAGATATTCAGTCACTATAGTTGAGCAGCAGCTAAGCTTTCTTTCTTGTGTCCCCATAACTTTGTTGTAATGTAAGGCAGATGTAATTGACAAAATGTTATTAAGTCTAACTCAAGCAAGCATTTTGTCAAAGAGAACCAAAAGAAAGGTAGTGCGACTGCTAGGTGAAAATTAGACCCTCATCAGGAAAGTAGTTACTTTTACCTAGAACCAACACCTCCCGTTCCAATAACAGCAACAGAATCCCCTGGACGCACCTCAGCTGCATGGGCCATAGCACCATATGCAGTAAAGACGGCACATCCTAGTATTGCAGACTCTGTATATGGCAATGAGTCTGGTAATACGGTCAACGCATTTGCGGGCACAACACAGTATTCCGCAAGCCCTCCCATACTATACATGTAGACTGGTTTT